CAACCCACCCCGCGCTTCTTCAGCACCGCGGAGTAAAAACCATTCCTCCAGCCCGAGGGGGTCTGTCACTATGGTAACGTCCTGAGGCAGTCACCACATGTCAGGGGGAGTCTGGGGGCCATAAGTGGACCGGAGCTCAGGCATGAGGAGGAGGTGGAGGAAACAATTGGCAGTGAGTTGCCTGCTGCTGGATACAAGTGACCTGGGAGATGTTTCAATCACAGCGTGTTTCCTTTTGTTTGTCACCTCTAACCTGTAGCTAACTTGTTGCTTTCACTCTTTAGTTTATTAGTAAAACTCTTATGTATTGGAATATTTAATTAGCAGATTATGTTATCTAACCATACTTTAAACTGGTGGATATCTTTAATAGTTACAGGTGGCTTCCTCCATTATTAGCTGAGTCGATATAACAGTGTTGTTCCAATATCAATACATATTACGATATGGCGTATGACATATTAACGTAAAATCATTAACTTGATGTTGAACACAATGAGATGTGCTCCACGAGGAAACTCTTCACACATGTAAATCAAAAACCTTAATGACTCATTTTGCTTTTAATTATAATTTGGCTGGAATCCATCATTTGAACAGCAGTTTTATATAACGTATTGTCACATTTAGAGCTGAAAGAGTCAATCAATTGACTTATCATTTAGGTCTATTTCTTCAAGCAAAATACTGAAAAAGTGCCTAACATTCAGGTCCAGTGTCTCAAATGAGGCTGTAGGCTGAATATCCTCGGGTTTTGGACTTTTGGTTGAATAAAACAAGACATTTCAAGACATCAGCTTGGGCTCTAAGAAGTTTTGATGGGTACTTTTCAGTCACATTTCATAATTGATTTGTAGAAAGCATAATGAAATAGTTGCAGCCTGTAGCCTCTATATTAATGTTAATGTTTTTATTCTTAATGTCTGTTTTTGTTTCCTAAAGTAATCTCAGCATCACTGAAAATGAGGGTTCCACCCCTCAATGTATTCCTGAGAAGTAAATAAAGGTTGAATAAATACTTCCTCCGTAACCTTGCAATATTGATGTTGAGTGTGCCATGTTTATACTTTAAAGAAATAAACTGCCTGTACGCCGCTGCACCGAGAGCAGAATAATGAGAACTTCTGTCAGAGGTGAGCTGTAGTTCAGGAAAGGTTTAAGAGGCTGCTGGAAAAGCTCAATATGAGTCAAAGATGGTTCAGTGTTCATTTAACCTCCACACTCTATGGAATAAAGTCTGAAGAACAAAAGATTTTTTATTTCTCATGAACAAATCATCATCTTTGCAAAAAAAGACAATAAAACATGAGAGATAAGCTAATGTTTATGGTGAGAGGCTGGATGAGTAAAGTATCTTAAAGGAAACTGGTGCAATTAGATAATTAAAGGGTTGGTATTGATTTGTGTAAAATACTTCTTCCCAAGATGACTCATACATAAGAGTGTTTATTAAAAAAGCTATTTTAACACAAAAACAAAAAAACCTCCCACGCCAAAGCTCATTATTTTAGACAATGATTCTTCCCCTGACCTTTCTCGTCCTTGCCTTTGCACTACAAGCCTGACTTGGTGACAGCAATGTGAACCCTGAGCTGTGATGTACAATCACATACGTGTGATAAATCCTAACCTCGCTGATTTAACACCTTCCCCTCTTGAAACCTGCAAGCTGCAGGGTCACCGTTAGCGGCGGAGATGATTTAGGGGCGAGGGGGCGAAGGGGGGAGGGGCCACTCCTAAATGTCTGGATAAATGTACGGGCACCTTTAACCACATTCAAGCACAATTTTAGGTCAACCTGGAAAATATGCTAAATATAATAAATCAGGTATAAGATGAGCTGTTCACCTCTATAACGGCTGTGGGATCTTTTTTGTTTTCCGGGGTAATCTACAAGTGGCGTTAAAATCTTTTGGGAAACATTGGAAACACTTTCTTTTAAGGCTGAATGTGACTTCTGATGATGCCAAACTTAAAAAAAAAATAGAATTAATCTGAAGAACTGAAAGATATTTTAACAAAAAAAAGATGTAAAATTAATACAGTTCAGTCTACTAATTGATTTGTTGAATGCCAGAATAAGAAAAAGGCAGGGATTTTGATAAGCAATCAATTATCAAGCAAATAGTTATAGTTTTATTTAACTGTGAATTAAATGTCTTTGAGTTTTTCACTACTGAATGCACGAAAAAATACATTTGAAGACTTCCTCTTGGGTTTGTGGAAAACTGTAATGGGCATTTTCACTATTTTCTGACATTTTACAGACTAAACAACTGATAAAAGAAATAATTGGCAAACTGTGAAGATAACTGCATATCGGAAAGAGGATTTCCTTTACCACCACCATTATTGCTCAAACACGCAACAAAAACATGACAGGCACAAAGTAAAGCGGGAGTAAAGTAGGATAAATACGTACTGCAACACACTGCACTATTTTCTGACGCCTGCACTTCCTCTACAGCACTATGTGAGATATAACAGAAATAGAAGCACTTATTTTCCTTTAAATAGTCATTCATTTAGTTGATTTAATGCTTTAAACCATTAATTAATCAAACAAGTGACATGACACAAGTGTTTCCTGTTCATGGTGAATCAAACAGGTGCATCGTTTCTGTTTCACTTGAAAACCCCACTAATGCTTTTCAAAACCACCACAGGATTTAATTTGTCTCCATAAATATTTCACTTTAATTTATTCCAACAAAGAGGACAGCAAACGTTGAGCTCTAGTGAAAAATACAATGTATAATGCATAAAATCCATAGAATGAGCTAATGAGTCCACACAAACACAAAATATCTGGCCAATTTAGCAAGCACGGATCTAATTCTAGATTTCACCCTAATCAAAAAAAAATGTAATTAATTAATCAGATAATTCACTGCCACGCATGGCAGGACACACATCTGTGCAGCGGTAATGGGGAGGGAGAGAGACAAGCTGAGCAGAGCGGCATTAGTACTTCCCCGTAGCCCACACGTCAACAGTGCTGGAATCCAGTGCAGCTTTAAAAAATGGTCCAGCACTCCCAGACGCTCAGATAACCTCTCCTGTACTGTACATGTGCTCTCAGCATGTGAGTGTACAGTGCAGTGTGTCGAAGGGACGGAAAGATCTGAGGCTGTTTGAGGTAACAGAGATGACATGAGGGAGGCAGTGCCTGTACAAGGCAAACATAAACTGTGCCACTTCATCTGAAAACAATGGGGGACAGGACACTGAGTGTGCTCTCATCCACATCTCCATTGTCTGCCCTCCTCTTTTACTCCTCCTCCGAGCATGGAGCATAAGCGGGGTGAAAGAGGGAGGGGAGGGGAGGGGAGGGGAGGAGA